AACGTCCCTCCTTATGTTCTCCGCCAAATCATTATTATTGTTATTTTTAATTAAGTTTTATATAGAAAACAATTTGGGTTTGGTTTTATCAAGCCCTCCCCAGAACCATAGAGGTGGTTCCTGAAATGTCCTGCAGGTGGCGCTGAAGAAGCATGGGTGAATCACTAAGAATGTGGAAATATGCACAAGAGAAAAAAACATTTATTTTTAACAAGGACCGGATAAACTGATTTAAAATAACAGGACAAAGAGGGAAAACCAAGAAGGTGGAAGTGATTCAACACTGTGGCTGCCTTAAAAACTCCAGAGAAGACGAAAGAGGAGAAGGACAAGAAGATGAAGGAGGAGGTGAAGGGAGAGGAAAAGAAAGAGGAGGCAAACAAAAAGGAGGAGGAGGAGGAGGAGGACAAGACGAAGAAGGAGAGCAGGCACAGTAGCATCACAACAATCACACCAAACACTGAGGGCTGCTACACATGACTTTATTTTATCCAGCTCCTTAAATCAGAAATTACAGGTGTACATCTATTTATTCATTAGTCTCCAGTTGAATCTTAAAACAGTTTTCATTAAACGTGATAAAAATGTACATCATCATATATAGCATCAATATGAAAATACTGACAATCTTCATTATAAATCTATACCATAGGATTTATCTGGCAAGCAAAAAAAAATCATTGCTCAATCACTTAAAAAAAAAGTAAAGACTCAAACGCAAAGAACAAGTCGCATCTTTTGAAGTCGTGCAGACACAGCGGTTTCTTTTCTTTCCCACAAAATAATAATGATAATTCACAGTTTGGAAAAACAAAAAAAACAGTGTCATGTCTTGCACGGATTCTCCTCTTGCTTCAGGAGGAACAGTGAAATCAGCGATTCAAATCGTCTCCTAATGGGCAATAACATCTACTGTACCATGAGATGTACAACCAAAACAATCAATATATAAAATAAAGTTGTACAATGTGAACAGAGAATATGCAAAAATACATGATTAGAGAATAAATAACAAATGCCGCCATGGTTACAATCCCAGTGTCCTGTGGTAAAGAGATAAAGAAAATAAATTAACATTGATTTCTAAAAAAAAAAAAAAGAAAAAACCTTCCTTTCAAGAGTACCATTCATCACTGTGCTTGATGTCGTGAGTGAAAGAAGCCAGAATCTAACCATCACCAGCGCGACTATAAAAAAGGCCAAAAAGACAGTACCTTGTACATATAGAATGAAATATAATGGCGTATGCACATACACATCCTTTTTGTTGGATTCCAGTCATATATATATTTACTGTGAGAGGCTCAGAGATTTGAATAATAAACAGAACTAAAGAGTATAAAGAGTGTGGTATTGATTACATAGTTACTACAAGTGAGTATCGGCTCAGATGAAGCCAATAGACATTATTGACAGCGACTCTGCTGCTTTTCAGATGTTTACTGAGCTCTGGATAATTTCCTGACATTCCCTGGAGGGGCTATAGGTGAGAATGCAAATGTATGAGAGACTAGTTAACACCCATGTGAGAAAACAGCAGGATAATGTCCACAGGATTCACTGCAATTGAGTGTGTTTGACGAGGATTCTGCGACCTAACATTCTGCAAACGGAGTCAAGTCAATAGAATTTCTACAGCCCCCAAAATCTGAAATTTGCCTCGGAGGTCACAGGGATTTTCAAACATGGTGTTTAAGAAAAGTTGATGAAAAACTTTGGTCGAATCTGTCTTTATGTTTTACAGCCTCGCTCTAACTGAAATGCTAAATGCTGATGCGGACTAAGACATGCAGTACATTTAGCAGACCAGCCTCACCTTCAACAAACACAGAAAGTGAATGAGTTTGTGCCCAGTGCACCTGCATGAGTGTTTGTTTCAATGTGACTCAACCAGGCTTTACTTTGAGATACAGGAAGTTTCATTTCAACTCATTTCTGTTGTTGTGTTTGTTAATAGTGTCACAGCCCAACTATCGATGGGTGCAACTTAGGCCCAGAGTCAACATGAAGCATTTGCTCATAGAGTGTCGTTAATTGAGTTCAATAAGGACGATGATACACAAAGGAAACGGTGCAGAAACACTGGAGCGATCACTTTTCATATGTGAATGACTCAGGACACATCCAAGTGAACTCAGGGCCTGTGGATAGACAGAGATGAATATACTGTACAGCACTGAGATAATATATGTTGTGTTGTGGTCCAGACAGAAAGGAGGGGGAGAACAAACAAACAGAAACAAAATTTAAATCACATTCACATTTTCTCATTTGTACACATGCAGCAGGGGAAATAGCCCTTGTCATGGAAAGGAGAGGGAGTGCAAGATTAAGGATATTTCTTCTAACATGTCCCATTCCTGGGGAGAAGCAATTTTGCGTGAGTGATAGCAACAGATGGAACACGGCCACTGTCATAACCTGTGAGATACAATAATAATATGTTAGGGCTGTCGCTTTATATTCAAAATTTTAACTTGAATTTGAACAGGAGATAAGATAATAGTTGACCTATAATGACATGTTCGCTTTAGACATCTCAAGTAGTTTGCCTCATGATCCAATAGGCGATCACTTTCAGCTTGATCTATTTCGTGCCCCTCTTGATCTATCAGTAAAGTAAATCAGTCATGATGCCTTTGTTTTGCTACAAAAAGGGAGGATGCTAGCAAGTAAAGCCGTCTTGAGCAGACAATCACGACACCAAAGCACCTGAGAAGCTGCTTGTGAAAGTATTTTAGATTTTGCATTACGGCAAAGAAACGAACAGAGGTGAGGCTGTTTGTCAACTTTGTACTACGCAAACTGTCGGCTCATCTGTTTGCTTTCCACCGAAGTAAGGAAGCAGAGGCGGCACCACAGACAAACAGAGCAATGTCAAGTGTTCATCGTCATCTGACTGGTGCGGGGGGGGGTTTGTTTGAATATATTAGAATATATTCAAACAAACTGCATGTCATATCGTATATATAGATTTTTAGAAAAAGGAACAGCCCTATCATATATTCAAGAAAAATAAACAGAAACAAAATATGCAAATCATATAAAGATACAGGCCAGATGATTAAGGGAAGAATAATTATTATTAAAAATCATCAACCTTTCAGTCATTAACAGCAGATAAAGAGGAAAAACAGCTAAAAACAGAGCTTAAAAAAAGCATCTGAGCCAACACAAGAGCCCGGACTTCTAACAGAAACGAAACATTTTTATTGCAGGTCTCAGCAACTGGTCAATTGTTGGAGTAGAATAGAAGTCTGTGGAAATTTCCACAACTGTTGACCAATCCAGACGCTGTGGTCACCTGGGAGACGTAGTGCGGTGCAGGGGTGGGGGTGTGGGGAGACAAGGCAAAAAACAAAACGGTACCAGATTGTCAACAAATGTCTCATTTCTGCCCTCTAGTGGAAATTCAGCAGAAATACAGTTTTGGGTTAAAAACAAGTGCTTCTAGTGGTTAAAAAAATAAAGTGGAGGGTAGTGGAGAACCAATCTACACTTATCCTTCACTTCTGTCTGGGACAATTTTGTGCCTGAAGAACCTGGGATGGGGGTAGGTCACCACTATGGCACACATGCATGATAATTGGCATGTAGAGGTGTAGGTGTAGGGGTACGGTGATAGGGTGCAGCGTTTGTTGTGTACATGTTGGGATGTACAAACATTTAGCTGTCAGATGTAATACCTACACACATCATTGTGCTTCTCAGATACAGTCACTGTACGATGGAACCTGTGTCTGAACTGCTGGTCCATGACTTCCCCAAAAGTGTGTGGAAGTATTTGTGTTTGTTTCCAGTGTTTAGAGCGTGAATGTCTACAGAGTTATAACAGTGCCATCTTCCTCCAGGCTCCGCCTCTCCATTGCTCTGTCTGGGGATGGCGTGGTCGAAGTGGCGTTGGCGTAGCTTAGTGATCCACTGCTGCCGCTGGCTGGCAGGGTCCCATTGGCATTGATGGAATGAGTAGAAGCGGAGTTGGTGGTAGTGCGGAGGTTGAGGTGCGGCTCATACCGAGGCAGCGAAGGCATGCTGTAGTTGGAAGAGGCGTGTCTGATTGACTCGGCCTCGCCTCCCACCTCGATCACCAGGTCCTCGTCATCCTCGTCGCTCTCCAGCTCCCCGACAGGGAAGTTCTGGATGATGTGCGACGGCATGGAGGCCGCAGCACCACCCTGTGATGAGTAGCCATAGTAACTGGCCCCGCTGTCCGATGAGCGTCCTGAGCTACCAGACGCAGCGCCTCCTCCTCCACCACGAACAACATTGTTCCGCTGGTTAGCAGGCTTCACGGTGATGATGAGGTTGTGGCTGTTGGCAATCATCATGTCTGTCACCTGGTCCAGAGACTTCCCCGCCACCTCGATGCCGTTCACTTCCAGCACCTCATCGTTGACTGCTAGCAGGCCGGTGCTCTCCGCCAGCCCACCAGGCACCATGCGAGAGATGAATATCCCCGGCACCTTCTCCAGGCCCTGTGGAGTGACCCGTACGCTGGAACCATCACGGATGTAGAAGCCCAATGGTTTTTCCTGGCCATGCTTGTAGAGGCGTACACGTCGGTGCGTCTCAGGGAGAATGTCCACATCGATGATGGACGAAACGGGGCGAAAGTCCTTAGGGAGGCTGATGATGACAGGTGGTTTTTTCCTGTTGGTGTCTGGCCGTAGAAGAACCGCAGAAAGCACGGTGTTTCTCTTCCTGGTCAGCGAGTCGGTACCAAAGGCTGTGTAATCAGCTTCCTCTGCAAAATAACAAGATAGAGGAAGTAGAGATAGAGAAGAGGAAGACAAAAGGGGGAAGGATGGCAGAAAGAAGAAGACAAAGAAGATTTTAACAGTTCTGGTTAATTTTCTTTTAATATCAAGCTGGGCTCATTAAACATGAATTCATTATTCAGGCTGACATTCTGTTGCATCATGTCATTTCAGGAGAATGAATAATGCTTTGCGATAGAACAGCTCTGAGCCTGAGGTGTCACTGCAGGGTGCCTGTGTTAAACACACACAAAAACGCTGATCCCCACAACTCCCCTCAGGTCGTACTGATGCAAAATGCCACAGCAGCCAAACAGGCGCTCAGCTCAACTCCTTCATCAGCACTCAGTTGTGCTGTGGCCCACAAATTAGTCTCCATATGCTGCTCACAGCCTCGCAGGTGCACATGGTGCGCAGGGATGCTGTTTTATTGATTTAATGAGCATATGTCTGGTGTGAATCCTTTTAATCTCAGGATGCATTTTTTCATATGATGAAATTTCTACTAAATAAAGGACAACATGGTGAATCCAGTCCCTAACCTACAGCTTTAAAGGAGTAGTGTGACAGTTGGAGAGGGAACTTGTCATTTGTTTTGTGTGTGTGAGCTAGATAATGATCATATCTGTCCATTGAATGTGGAGATATAACCAGGAGCCAGTTAGCTACAGCTAGCATTGACTGGAGGCAGAGGGAAACAGCTGGCCTGGCTCTGTCCTATATAGAAGCACCTCTTAAGATTACTAATTAAATCTAAGGTTGGTAATCCTTGTAAGGCTAGTAAGGCTAGTTAGACTTTGAAAAAAATGCAACCGAAAGGTCCTACTCCTCCCATCAGCCCCTTTTCAAAGCTTCACCCCCAAACACATGAACAAGCACTGACTGACAACGGCTAGAAGCCGACTTTTCTGTGATTCGATCGCCTGTCATGCGCAGTAAGAGCACAGACATGACGCACACAAACAGAAAGACACATTGACCATTTCATCTTTATTTAAGTTTTGGACCAAATGTCGGCTGAATTGGCCACATCTGTAGTTACTGTTTTTAGTTTAATGTCACACTTCAATTTATTGTTGGTTTAATAGAGAAGTCAGGTAATAATTAACCATCATCCAGAGCAACAGTGATCAGATTATATGCTGCACACAACACAAGTCTGGGGAGAGGAGGCTACAGCGACAGAAACTGGAAGTTGAAGGTGTGTGTTGTCCATCATCTGCAACGCTTCATCTCACAGCGGCTGCTCCTGATGTTTCGTCCCTGACATATTTCAGATCCTGCTGTCAAAATAATGCTAAAAATTACCCACGTTTAGTTTTGTGAGCTAACCTTGCCAACAATTGACATAATGACAGTTAAATGCTTTTAATGTGAAGCTGCAGCAGTGGAAAGGTTTGGTTTGCTCCCCCCGCAGCAGTAACTTCATGCAACATTTCTTATGTAAATATCACTTCACACACTCAATTTGTAAAACTGTAAATATTGTAATACTTGTAATCAGTGGTTAAAAGCTATCAATATCGTGTTACCTCATTTGTCAATAGTGATTTAGCAGACATTTATTCAAATAAAATTCCTCAACACAGAAGTGAGTGGTATCAATCTTCTCATCCACCTCTCAGCAAGAAACGTACGAGCAAATGATCAAATGTTTAACTACTCCTGATCCCAGCCTGATCCCTGTTCACGGTTTTTAGGTTGCTGCAGATACAATCTGCCAGGATACAGGAGCAACACTCACTCACTTGTCCCAGCTGTTATTGGCTTGTTAAATAACTCAGTGTGAGTTTTATGGCGTATTTATTGTCCTTTACTGTTTGTCAGATGATTGTCTGGTTGAATGTTGACCCCCATAGCAGTAAAGATCCTTGATCCTTGAATATGATGGTCATATCTTAGCTGCATGAGTCACTGAGGTGCCACTGAACTATGCATGTTATGTACATTTTGCATTGGGAGTGTCAACGGTGTCATGCTACTAGACTTTAACCCAGTGTGGCTCATATCAACACTAGGCTAAGGGCTGGATGAGTAAGGGAGGGAAAAACTGTACCTTGGTTCTCTAATAGTTAACAAGCATAATATCGGCAGCTGAACATTAACATGACTTTCAATTTCATTTTATGCTGGTCTCAGCCTGATCAACTCAGGTTTTTGTCTGTTTCTGATGTTATTTTTAACTTCCTCGCATTTTGCTGTCTTAACAGCACTTTGAAATCTTCATTATTAGATCAAGTGCTCTATAAATAGAGCTCTGGCAGTCTTACACTGAAAACGTTCCTATTACTTTCTCCCTCGTCTGTGTGTGTGTGTGTAATCTGGGAAAATGGCCACTCAGGTGGCTGATAAAGAGTCCAGTTCTCAGGTTCCGACGGGTACGCACCCCACTACTCCCCCTCCATTCCTAAAAACAAAACAAAGGATTGATTGTCCCGAGAAAGAGTGGCAGTATCGCATTTCAGTTCCCATGAGGCACGAGTCTAGTGTATACACATTTGCTAGATCTTTGCCAGTCCTGACCTTGATATGGGCGAGAACTACACATGAGAAAAATATAGCAACAGAACCTTGAGGTTCCATGACAAAAGGCTGAAACACGTGTTTCATCACTCAATCGCTGTCACTGTTCTTTCTACATGCAAACAAACACGGCCATAAAGAGGAGCATAAAGGGCGTACAGGTGGATGGCTCACAACACGTGCACACACACATGCCTTCTTCCAGCGCTGACACAGAGGGTGCTCTTGCGGTGCAGTCATGCACAGGAGGAGGCAACCCTACACATCTCATTTCACTCGCTCTAGTCTTCTTTTCATCTGAACCATCCCTCCATCTCGAGCGTATGAAAGGCCACATCTGACAATAGGGTTATAGTTGTATGTGATGGTCCCTTAGGGGCACTCACAGGCGCAAACACACACATGGCAAGGAGATGCTGCTCTAGCGTCAAATGGTATAAGCTTGCAGCTTCTTGACTACAGTGTGTGTACCCATACACAGAAACAACATCTACAAGCCCACACAAGCCAGCATTCAGTGGAGAACACACACACACGGATATCTATAAGGTTTATTTGTGGTTAGTGATGATGATGAGAGAAACCCAACACCACAGCTACATTACAGCTCATTAGTGCACACAAGCTCTTAGTCTAATTGGCTGCAAAGACCTATCGGCAAATCACAATACAAACACAAACACGCGCACACACACACACACACACACAAAGTTCCTCATTTGTTAAAGGACAAATTACCAGAGCATAACACACTACCCCACTGTCCCAGTGATGCAGATATAAAAATGTTTGAACAATACTCTTGTGTGCTTTCAGTGCATATTGTATGTAAAATAGGAAACTTGATGACCTGTAAATGGTTGTTCTTTATTTACAAACACCACAGAGTTCATTCTCAGACCAGTCAAAAGGTAATTTCCTATTTTCTAAAGGTTGGGACAAAATGTTTTCGGATGACTGATCTCACAGAGGTCAACGTGGAGGCCTGTCGCCCAAGTAGCAAACAGAAAGATAAGCTGCATGTCTAGTGTGAAGTTCTACATCATGAAATCAAACACCAAATGTTTAAAAACCTGGACAGAGTTCATGTTATATCACCAAAAACAACCAGCAGTTGGTTTAAGATACAGGTATTTGTCCATTCACGTTAAGCTGTATTCAAACAACCTCTGGAGGATGTCCGGAGAATTGGTTCGGACTTTCTCACATGAACGTGTATGTCTGAAAGTAGCTTTAGTTTGTTATCAATATCAACATTTAAGGTCAAAACAGAACTTTTCACCTGACAATCTGACCTCAGTTACAAGACAGAGACATCTCAACATGAGTCACTGACGAAGCTGCTGGACCAATGGTTAACATGCTGCAGCTAATGAGTGTACAGGAATGCGTCTGCTTTGGCTAATGATTAACTAAAACAATCAGAGGTCAACTATTGCAGAAGGTGATAGAAGACTGTAAATGTCCAGATTTAAGAGGGTATTTATCACACAGCTTTTGTCAGTGAACATTTCGCTTCCTCTACGTGAATACGTGACGTAAATATATGTCAGTTACCATGACAAAAGTGTATCACAATCTTCATTGTTCACAAACCTAGAAGACAAAGGGTCCTACCCTACACTTGCCATGGCTCTGCACAGGTTAGGTATCCCAGCTATGTAATGAATGCTTTGCTATTTTCTACACTGAATGGAGTGAATGGAGTCAGTGAGGAGCAGAGGAGGCGAAGTAACAGAGGAGAAAATGACAACCCTGCAGCACGTCACAAGTGGGGACACACAAGGAATCGCCTTGTCATTCTTTTCTGTAGTATGTAACTTTATACATACACACACAGGGTGAACAACTACTGCATCTCCTTCCTGACACTGAAGGGACTCTGCCTAAGGAGAGGAAACTACTTGTGTGTGTGAACTGGCATGGATTGGTTGAACACATCATCTCCCTCAGTGGTCGGTTCTTCACACACTCTGGACTCATCATGCTCAAACTGTGGACTTTGGTTTTTAAAGAGCCAGTGTCAATAGTTCAGAATAAGTGGACTGTGCAGGCATTCAGAACACGCCACAGCTATGTACACCATTATCTCTGTCCAGAACTGCTTATCTTTACCAAAACCAATTATGGAAAATATGTTTTTATAGTTAGGTCTCACCTTTTTCAGATGAGAGAAATGTGCACCAATTTCTTGTAGCGCTTTATCAATACACCCACTTGTCCTTACAATTATGATGATACAGGATGACGAAGCACTGGGTTTCATTGTAATGTAATGACTGCTGACGACAACACCAAATATCCATGACTTCCTGGTACTTGTTCCAGGGCTGTGTTAGGGAAACCTGATACGGTGTCCAGGTAAAACAACACCAACCAGACTGAGCACTGTGACTGTCAAAAGAGAACTATGACTAATATGAAAATTATTAGTATAAGATCTACTACTGACAGGACAAATGCA